AGTCTCTTAACCAGTGCAGCAGGCCACCATCAGACTCTACAGTTTCTCAAAACTGGGAGGGGAGGGAAGAGGAGATGGATGGACAATGACACTAACAAGACATAGAATTCTAGACACAGCTTCATCACTGTTGAGAAGAGGGGGATAATGACTTTTCCATTCTGTTGCCCGCCATCCTCCTAACATAGACCACTATGAGATTTGCCTCATTTGCAGCGACGGCAAACTGCTGTCTCATTCAATCTGGTATTCAGTGCAACACCCGAGTCTTCCTCAGCAAGGCTCCTTACTCAGGCATTCACAATTCTCAGTCTGGCAATTCCTGGCACATAGGCTTATGTCAACCAACCAGAGTGCAAAACTGCACTTCTGATTAAATTCCATGAGGTCTCCATTCACCAAATTTTTCACTTCCTCAAGGCTCTTCTGAATAAAGCTCTACTTTCAACCACACCCCTCTGCCAACTTGCTACCACCTGCAAATTGGCTGTGATTGTATTCTGTCTCAACTTCAAGGTCACCAGTGTAGTAATGAACAAAAACAGTCCCAGTATTTTGCCCCAACTACATACTACTTTGTATTAATTAGGCCCGTTGCCGAAGTATTATTCACACTACTTCAATATCACAAAGCTTCAAAAATAACTTTAGTTTTTAATGAAAACATACATTTAAATTCACAGCATGAACATTATCTGTCAACTACATACAGAAGACAAGTAAAAGGGACAGATGTTCTAACAAAGAATAAGACTGAGAAGATGGAGCATAATGTGGCAAGAATGATGAACTGAGTTCATCGTCATCCATTAAGAGCGACTTAACATAGTGCAAGGGGAAGAATTTAACAAAGAATAGTCTCCTGCTATCTTTAGTGATTAAAATTCATGCATTCAAATACAGTATCACTCTAAAATTAAGCTACATGCAGAAAATACAAGCCTGTACTTTTAAAGCAAGAACCAAAATGAATAATGAGCATGCATGAGAACCTAAGTTTACCTCTGTAATAAAAAGCCAGTAAGACCCTATTACTACTTTTCTATTTTTATTTACATCAGACTAAAAGGACAAAATTAATTTTAAGTACAGAAGCGAGACACAAAGATCAGAATGCCTTGGCTTTTTACTTTCAAACAATTAATCTATTTGATAGTAAATAGCTAAGTGACTTCTTGGACAACTGTTTTTCTTCTAAACAAAACAGACCTTTACTGTTTTCACCTTTTCACCAATGCTGTCAATAAAACAATAGTTCTTGCAGGCCATACTTCAAGTACTTGTGCAAGGAATTAGATTAAGACTAGTTAACAGAGAATTCTCATCACTTTAGAAAAGCCAGTATTTTCAGCTAAGTTTTTTATGCATTCAAGCATAGTAAGAAACTTCAGAAGAAAATCTTCTGAAGTGTCCAGTTTTATGATCAGGTGTTTTGCCAAGGAAATACACATTAATAATCAAGAAATTTGTGTACAAGAATCTATAAACTTTATCATAACTTGCCGGTATTTCAAAAACCAAAATATATATATATACACACTCTGCACATGTCTACAGCCCAGTTAAGACACTTAGAGGAGTAAGTCAGTGCAATAGCTGATATTGAAAACCTCAATCAAGATTTCACAACATATATTGGTACTAGCATAAAATAACAGGTTAAGTTATATGTTCGAATGACTCCTCTTTATGGCCCTGATGTTCACTGAACATCTCTGAATATTTAAGACAGTCTTATAACAATGCACAGCTATGTTTAGTGCTTTAGAAATATAGTGCACAAGACATGACAATTTATTACTTCGTCAACAGCTCCCTTACCATCCACTTGGCACGTTGGATACCAAATACATTTAGGAAAATGTTACAATTTATCATTAACACATAGAAATGCTACCATTTACATTTCACTAGTAAGGACAGTCCTTTCAGATTACATTTAAAAAGGAAAGAGAAATCCGGACTAAGTATAATTAACACACATCAAGATAAATTTACTTTATCTTCAACTCACCTAACACAGGACAATGGTCCCTGTAGAAAGAGCCTCCTTTTGCATCTTGGACACATTTCAGGTCAGACTACAGAGAGAGATCGAGACAACTTTAGTCCTCGCTGACTAAGGCTCTAGGTTAACATAAGTCAGTGATACTAGAACTGAAATACAGTCAATTAAGAGATGCTGAAAATTATGTGTACAAAACACATGCCCCATGAATTCGTTACTGATGCATATAATCTCAAATACTTTCCTATCAGCCTTCAGCCTATCAGCCTATCTATCAGCCTTGACATTCTCAAGATTTTAATAACATTTACTGATATAAAAGGCTCTAAAGGATGAGACCTTTTTAACTCAAGGAAAGGTAATAAAATAACACAAAGCTCCTCTGCATCATTCTATATAGTTATCTTTCTTTTCAAAAAAATTCTGTGAACACAAGCAAGGAAAGAAAAAAAAATCAGTATCTGCAGATAGTGCTTAAGGCCACAGCCTTTCCTGTACCGATCATTAATACCTGCCAGTGCTACCCCCTCTTCCCAACCCTTTTTGACAGATACATGTTTAACTTAAAGAAAACCTAGCATCCAAATTCTACAAAATGAAGAATTTCTAACTGAGAATATATAGAGCACAAGGATATTAGTGGTTTTTGGTTTTGTTTTTTTTCTTTAAAATTATTGAGCTAAACATTATCTTTTTAAAGAGAAGAGTGCCAAAGCTCATCCTCCAGAAAGACTCTGTTTCATATTATCTGAGCAACAGAAGTTTCAAGTGTGATAACCAACTCCTGTTTGCAAAGTCATCAGAGTTCCCATAATTCTCCCTTCCTCTAGTTTTTGCCCTGTGTAACCCTTAAAGCCAAATGGCTACCATCTGCCATTGCTCCTTATGGAACAATTCTCACTAAACAAAGGGCTTTTTGTGTGCACGATGAGTTGGGAAGGAGATAGGAAACCGTTTGCAAAATGTGTCAGAATATTCCATGGGATGGGGGAGGAAATAGAGGACCGGGGGTGGTTATGACATAATTAACCAGAACTAAGCAAATATTTTAACAATTATTTTTCCCACACCCAAGATTTATTGACAAAATGTGCTCCTGCAAAAGGATTAAAAGGGAAACTCTCAAGTTTTCCAAATCACCAAGGCACTGACAAACACAATATTACCCCCTCAGTGACCTGTAAGCAGCCAGAAACAATACAAAATTCAGCATATATTCTGATCTATGAAGAATGTAACTGCCACTTTTTGAAAAGGTGATGAAAACAGCCAGATGAAAATAATGAGACTTATCTGCTCTTCAAGTCCTATGAGAAATCAGAGAAAGAGAGTTTGTTCAGCCCAGCAGCAGCAGGCCTGCGACAAAATGCTGCTGCCTGGTGGGCAGGTGCTGGGTTTAACTCGGCCAAAGACAAAGGGGCTGCACTGACCATCCCAGATGGCAAGCTCATTCATTCCCCCAGACCAACAGAGATTTAATGTGCCCAGGAACACTTGGTCTCACCCACTGAATACAAACTCTTCGTGCCATGCAACAACCAGCTGTCTGCACAAGAGTCAAGAAGGGGTATACATGCAAAAGCTGTTTTCACATTCTTCAGAGCATTAAGAATGGAGCATGGAAGGGCCCTGAACGGTTATCCTTCCAGCCAGGCAAAATCTGGGTGAAAGACTGCTTGCGTTACAGCAAGTGTTAACATACAGAGCAGACGGATGGCTAAAAGCTAGCAGAAGAAATAAAATATTCAGTAAAAGGCTAATTACTATCTTGCAGCAGCAATTATTAGGAAGCAGGTCAAGATACCTTAAATTTTATAGAAGAAAACCAAACCCAGAAACCTGCAAATCTGCACTCTCTTTTTACCCAGCCTGTACTGTGCCCTGCGTGTAGTTTATTTATGGAGTATAATGATATACTTGGTTGTAAAACTGAGTGGTAGCTTGATGTTCAACCACAGCTTCACATCTGTCTTCTTTTCACTTACATGATGAAGTCAATGTTAGACTGCTAAGGAGTAAATCAAGAGTCTGATCTAAGTATCACAGAAAAGCAAGGCAATATGTTCATTTGGTTTTTTTTACAAAAGCCTTCAACAAAAAACTGAAGACCCGAAACACACAGAAAGATGAGGCACTGACAGAGATTAAGGCAGTATGAAACTAACTTGTATATACAGCAAAGAGTTCCTTCAGCCGCTTTGCAAACCACAGTACTAAGAAAAGTAACATCAACATGATAAAGGCTTGCAAATGTCTTAAAAACATAACCACCCCCCCGCCCCCAAATTCCAGAGTTTTAAGATGGGAAACTGTACTTAGCTGTACTTCAGTACCACAAAAGCTGGGTAAGCAACTATAATTCTACTTCTAGCACTCAGCTACTACATTTATCAGAAAAGGAAAACAAGCTTTCTTCTGCCCAAGTAGCTTAAGTAGAAAGTTAGAGGTGGTGTTAAGCTCCTGGTCATCCTCCCCTGGGGACCGCGTGGCAAGAGGCCCCCCTAGTGAGGATGGAGCATAAACACACCCGAAGCCCAGCCACACCAGGCTGCCAGCTTTGCCACACTGCACTTAGGAGAACCACACCAGGATTTCTACAAGTTTTATGAGTCTCCCTGAGTCTTGTAAATGGATTGAAATAGCAGATCGTTTGGAGAGGAGATGTACTAGTGCAAAAGGGGCTGTAAGAAAACACAAAGGGACGTTAAAACACAAGCTTCAGATTCATGGTGACACCGTGCACAGAAAAAATAGTAACAACTGTGACACTGGATGTAAATATATGGTGGAGACAAACATGCAAAGATGAAAACAAAACATAAGCTCTTATACACTAACTTGATGGAGAAATCACTCAGTGAACACTGAATAGGATTCTTTCATGAAACAGAAAAACAAGCTATAGATTTTGTGGAATTTGCGTATACTTAGAGAACAGATGGAAGCCCCAGTTAACCAGGAAATCATTATAATGAAAACTCAAGGAACAGCACAAGCACAAAACATGGCACAGCAGGACTTTCAGGTCAGTATTAACAGCTGATGCACATAAGCAGTGAGTAATAATTGTTTTTGCCTACACTGGAGAACTTTGGTCTTCTAGCATCTACCTTCTGACTTGCTGAAAAACTCTTTGGATTCCAGCTCTATGTGACTGGATTACATAAAGATCATGATCTGCTCAGCCAAATGGGAATTACAGAAAATATAACAGTTTACCTTGACTTACCATCTAATTATACCATTGAAAAACAAGCAGCAATTTCATCATCATAAAAACTTCAGAGAATGAAAAATGTACATTACAGCAATGTCAGCAATGGTGGCAGATGGTGTAGAAGCGCCATCAATCCCTGACCTTGAAAAGGAAAACAATGCTGAAGTAGCACCTGCCTACTGGAGTAACTATTAAGTTATTCCAATCAATATGGAATGCCATCCATCAAAACCTGGGAGGGGAGTCTATAGACTCAGTAAGAAAATTAGGTGTGCTGCTAAGGAAAAGAAGAATGTTTGATCCAGAGATGCACTGAAACAGCATCTAACACCAGCAGCAAATACCAGGGGAGAAATTAATACTGA